GGGCAGGAAAAGGTCTGTGCAGGGAGCAGCACTTATAAGGCTGACAGCCTGCATGGTATGTTGTATATAATACTTAATGTATAGGTAAGGATTAGAAAGGAAGGTGCATGAGGGATGAGGAAAACAGGATCACTCCATTCGCCACACTCAGTAAAACTCCTCTTTTGGTGATTGGATTGGATTCATTTTGCAGCTGCAGAATTGTGAATATGTTCAGTAACACCTCTTCCTGTCTTTAAAATTTGATTACAGAGCCTGGAAGCCCTCTATATGCTACCTGACTTAAGAGAGGACTGTCTCTTATGAACTAATTGCTACTGATTTGAATTCATTCTGCAAGTTAGATAATTAGACACGTAAAATTTTTAAAGTCCTTACACATAGATTATTTAGCTCTCACCAATCATCATCTCTCTCTTAAAACCTTCACCAAATAAAGCCAGTTTTGCTAGAGTTGCTTTATAACTGGGAAAAGCTAGGTAAAAAGTAATTAAATATCTTGTTTAAGAGAGTGGAGCAGATCAAGGGGCAGAGTTAGGAATAAAGTCATTATCTTTATCTTCCAGAAAGCCATTTCTTCTTTTCACTCAGTCTCAAACTCAGATAGTGTGGGTATATAGATTGTGACAGACAAGAGGCAGTGCTGTCTCAAAACCACAGTAGGCAGAGATTCTCAAGAGAATTTAGAACATTTTTGCATGCATTTGTTAATTTGTGCACAATTGGATGTATCTTTGATGAGCTGATGAACTGCTGTGATAGATTTGTCAGTGTTCTAAAGAAGTGTGCAGATGTCTGGGTATCTTGTCTGAGAGTATGGTGAATCAGTGCATGTGATGTCTTTTTAAGTCAGAACAGATGTAGACACGTCATCCTGGAAGGTAAAATCCTTCTGATTCCCTGTTGCTACTGATCTCCTCTCGACCCATCCCTTGAGTAACTTCACTGTGATTGCAGGACTATTTTGATGCTATTGTGTAGTCCATGGCTAGCACTACATTTAGGGTTCTCTCCAGTGCTTGTAAACTGTCTTCTCAGCTCTGCATGATTAAAGCCTGCTAGTTTTCTTTAAAGCATGAGCTACAAACAGGAGACATAAGAAAATCAGCTCCATTTCCTGCACTTAAATGTAAAGTAGCTCAGGAAGTCAGTGTTCTTCAAATTACCAGAAGTTAGAGAGACTGAAGCAAAATGTTTGTATTAAATCAGTTTTCCCAGTAAAAAACAAACAAACAAACAAAGAAACCTCAAATCACCACTCAGACTTGCTGTGCAACACATGCACGCACACATACACGTGCACAGATAGGAAAAGGAGGACCGGGAAGGGAAAATGGACTGATGATATTAGTTGTCAGTGAATGGTTGTAGTCACTACACCCATCTGAAACTACTGGTCTGTGAATTTTGTCATGCCCATCTGTCTGATCAGGGTGAATACCTCAGTAGAGGAAAATCATCAGTTTGATGATTGAAGTTCAACTGTTCCAATCAGTCAGGTGTACAGTAAGCACTGTGTTAAAATGAACCCTGAAAGATATTCTTGCTTGAAAGCCAGTTCTTAACAGGCCATGTAGCAAGGCTAGGCTGGGAAGGATCACACTATTCAAGTGAGCAGCTTAAATGCTCAGACTTTTGCTGTGGAAGGGGCGACAGGCCAAGTGAGAACCTGGGGGCCAGGATGAGGTAGGAAGTGAACAAATGGAAATTTCCTGGTGGGTGCCACTGGGAAGCCTTGTCAAGGCTCATGAAGGACAGAGGGAGGTGATTACAAAGGGGCAGATCAATTTACGAAGGGTAAACTGTGCCTTGGCAACCTGACACCTTTCTGTGATGAGATAACAGGCTCTGTGGATGAGGGGAAATCAATAGGTGTCATTTGCCTTGATTTTAGCAAGCTTTTCAGTATAAATTATGTCTTGTAGACAAATGAGAGAGAGGCTGAATGGATGGATGTACTAGTAGATGAGTGGGACGCTGGGTAGACTACCAGACCCAAAGGGTGGTGGTCAGCATTTCAAAGTCCAGTACCTGATGACAAGTTGTTTGTGGTGTTTCTACAATGTTGATACTGCTGTTAATGCTATTTAACATCTTCATTAATAACCAGAATTATTAGATAGAGTGCACTGTTGGGAAGGTTTTAGATAACACCAGACTGGGCAGAGCAGATTATCTGTTGGACAGCTGCCATTCAGAGGGATATCAACAGGCAGGAGAAATTGGCTGAGAGGAACCTCATGAGGTTCAGTGACAACAGGCAGGAGTTCCTGCACCCGGACAGAATAAAAGATGCAGCAGGCACTGCTAGGCACAGCCCGGCTAGGCAGCAACTTTGAAGAGTGGAGAGCAAGTTGCACATGAGTCAGCCATGAGTCCTTGCAGTGGTGAAGGCTCATAGCAAGCTGGGTTGCACTAAGAACAGCCTAGGCAGCAGTTGAGGGACATCTACTCACTGCCTGTGAGACTACTGGGAGTACTGTGTCCAGTTCTAGGTTCCCCAGTATGCCAAAGTGTGTTGGGTGGAGAATAACCAAGCTGGTGACGCACATAACAGTTACTAGGTCTGGTGCAAAGAACATACAAGAAAAGTCTGGGAGAGCTCAGTTTGTCAACCTGGAGAAGAAGAGGCTGTAGGAAGAATGTAATTGCTGTCTTCAACAATCTAAGGGAAGGTTAGAGAGGAGACAAAGCCAAATTCCTCTCAGAGATGCACAGGAAAACTAGGAGGCAACAGACACAAATTGAATTAAAGAAAATTCTGATTAGATATAAGATAAATCTTTTCTCAGTGAAGGTGGTATAGCATTGAAACAGGGATCCGGCTGTGAAGGACATGCAGGTGCTGCTTGTGCTTGTGAGAGGAAATAAAGAAGTAAATGAGTTTTCAAAAGAAATTCTAAGTCCCCTAAATATTATTTTTTATATTTTTCCCACAGTTACTAGTTTCTGACTGAGAAATCTCTTTAGCTTTACTTTAGAAAAATCTGATACACATGTAAGGTTTTGTTCCTCAGTGGGTTAGAAGCGATTGGTGATAGCATGAGAATGCTTGGGAAAATGACTTCTGAAAGATGTTTGTTATTTTAATAGATATTGTTTTCTAAAGCAGTGAATAGGTGCTTTCATTCTGAAGATTGCAAACTTTGTTTATATTTGGTACTAGACCTTCTCACAGTATATAAAAATAAAAAGAAGATAAAATCAATGAAAGGCAAAACTTGGTAGAGACAACAGAATACTGTAAAAATGAAATTTTTTTTTTTCCTGTGGCAAAGGTAGCACGCTTTAATTGTATGGAGCTAAATATTCATCGATTCCAAAAAGGAAATTCTGTCTTTAAACTTTGGTGATCATAGAGTTATAATTCCGTATGCCTAAAGCTAAAAATATTATAATCAAATGGCCTTCAGCTTTTATCTATCGCTCCAAAGTGGCCAGTGTTATAGCGCACAATGGGAATAAAAGGGTAAGGGTGTAGAATGTCCTTTCAGTTACTAAGCATTTTAATATTAAACTGTACCTTACTGTAAGAGCTGATACATGTCATGAAATGTATACACACCAAATTGCATGCATTTCATTTTTGTTTTTTTTATGCACAAGTTGCACAGTTGTATAGAAATAATGGCATTAATCATCAGTAACTGTTATGAAGTAACGTACAGTTGCTCTGAACACAGAATTATCTTAAAATAACTACACAAAAATTAGAAAGAAACTGTGATATTCTCAAAGTATTTGAATTGCTGTACTTCATTGTACATTGTTACATGGTACATTCTTAATTTGGATTATCTTACTTAGGTTTTGAAATCCTGCAGTGAATATTTGATAGTAGAAATACGGTTAGTGTTTTCGGTAGTGCTGTAATCATGCCTGCCACGCACAAAGAGACCCCGCTGTCTGCACGGGTTTAAAGTACAGATAGTTGTTCATTGGTTAGTATATAGTGTAGATAAGTAGAACTAATTAGCTACCATGCTAAACACTGGTATGTTCGTCAGCCCAACACCATGCCTGAAGAGTCTTTGCTGACCAAGCAGGTATCAGTCAGGCAGAGAAGGGGTGCCCTCCATCACTTTTGGTACTACATTGACTACATGTTGATCCTTCTCCTCCTGAGTCCTTGAGCTAGTAACTATCCCATCTCAGCCGTCTTGTCTCTACCATTTTATTCACGGTGTGTGGCTCCACTCTACACTTTCTTACAGTTCTGTAGTTTGCTCTGGAGTCTAAGCCAAGATTGTGCAGCTGGGATGAATCAGAGGTCAGCCTTTGGTGACCACTGCTGCACTCCAGCGTGGGAAGAGGAAGAGGTTAGAGTACGTCAGGTGGCTGGAAACTAGCCTGGATATGGGTTTCATAGATAACTTAAAGATCAGGATGGACAGCTTTACAGATTCACAAATTTTTTTAAACTGGGTGTATATTTCAAACTGAACATCAGCTGAGTGCATATGAACCATGCAGAATATATAGCTTTGTCATAAATTTCATAGTATACATGCATATACGTATACTACATGCCTATATGATATCAATAAGTAGAGTAAACATAAAATGCTGAGGTTTATCCTCTGTAAAGATCAGTTATTTTTCTTGGTCTAGCTCTAACATAAAAAGTGGACTTCGTAGGTAAGGGAAGCTCAAACCCTCACCTCCAAGGTCCCCTAATTGTAAATTGAATACATCATGTTTCTTAGGGTTCTACACAAAATTAATGACAAGTTATTATATATTCAGAATGTGATCCAAAGCCTAATGAAGTTGAAAAGAAAGACCACAGTGAGCTGTGATTTGGAGGCTGAGAATCTACTTCCTTCATCCTTAATTAACTGGACAGTGCCCAAAGTTACGTACTGTTGTATGGTGTGAACTCAACAGGAAGATAGGCTTTTAGACTTTTAACTTAATGTATCATTATGGGCATTTAAATATTAATGAATTTCAGATTTTTTAATTTCTTTTCTCTTTTTCTTTTTTTTTTTCTCTTTCAGGCAAGTCCTGCCCCTATAATTGTCAACACAGACACCTTGGACACAATCCCTTATGTAAGTATTATTTTTTTGTTAATATATAGAATTTGTTTATTTTCTATTCAGTATTGCACAGAATTTACAAATAAATTTTACAATTAATCATGTCTTTTACAGTTACACAGTTAATTCTTTTCTAGAAGAAGAAATCAGGAATGATAATTGCATTCAGGTGAATTATATCGTATTATATACACATAATTTGTAATTTAGACTTCAACACGTAAACTGTAACCTCCTAAAACTAGCCTTTCTTTGAAAAACACAGTGATTTCATAAAGTCTTTCCTCTTTATCAGTAACATAAAGTATGAATATTTCCTTTTAGAGCAGTATGCACCCTCCTAGCTTATGAAGAAGATACCTAGACGCACACTGTAACATTAATATGGACAAACAGCTCGTCATTTATCTGTGTATTCCTTTTGTAGATGAAAGCTGTTCATGATAAATAACAGCACAAACTAGATGACTTCATGTTTTCTTATTAATGTCTCCGTTTTGCCCTAAAATAAATGCATTTTTTTAATAGAGTCAAGAAAACCTGCTTTTTTGCTAGCATTTGATATCGTTGTTAATTTGGACTGTAAAGCAGCTATAGTTGAAGATAAAGGACACAGAGAAAGACAAAGTGAATATGTAATCAAGAGAGTAACAGGCTTAAATGATTGGAGGCAAGAAAAGCTAACCAGCCAGCATCTAATCTTTCTCCTTGCATACTCTTAATAATCTTTTTAAAGCTCCTAATTAATGTCTCTCATCTGTTGTATTTTGTCCACATGTGTTTCTTACGATAGCAATGCATAAGTCTAATTATCTGTCCACCTACACCAATTGTGTTGCTGGGTTCTGTGTTTTAGAAGACAATTGATGACGAAGTTTAATAGGTGTCGTCCTGGCCAGCTTGTTTTCATAAAAGACAAATACAGACAAATGTATGAACAAATTACCTCTTCCTCCAAACTGATATTTGGGAGAGTGGGCTGGGAGACCTGTGTTTTCCTTCCTGCTCCCAGGACTACTTAAATTTAGTTTGGTTTGGTTTCATCTTGTGGTGTTTCCTCTGCTAGGAAGATGCTGTAGTCACTGGGCCAGAAACATGTCTGCCTGTGTATGCATCCCTTTCGGTCTCACTGCACTTTTCAAAAACAGGTTTACAGACAGTATATGGTGGGTTGACTCTGGCCCTTAGCCAAACACTCTTCTCAAAAAAAGCAGGGAGAAAATAGAAGGAAGGCAAAGAAGAATTGTATGTTGGGGTAATGAGAGTTTAATAGGGAAAGTAAAAGCTGCACGTGCAGGCAAAGCAAAATAATGAATTCATTTACTACTTCCCATCGGCAGGCAGATGTTTAGCCATTTCCTGGAAAGCAAGGCTTCATCACGTGTAGCAGTTACTTGAGACGACAAATATCATAACCATCAATGTCCCCTCTTGCTCCTCCTGAGGTTTTATTGCTGAGTAAGACATCATATGGTATGGAATATGCCCCTGGTCAGCCTTAAATCAAAGCATAGCATTATGTGGGCTACTATGAAGAAAATTAACTCAGTCCCAGCCAGACCTAGTACAACCTATAATAACATATGGGGCCTGTAACACAGCCTGTAACACCGTGGGGTGTTAGTGGGGCTTTGTCTCTCAACTGTGTGGAAAGGCAGAGGAAAATCTTCCAAAACTGTGTGACCTAAGTGTATGATAATGCAACCATCACCATATCATTTTTCTTACAGGAAATATAGTTCAGCAGACATGCTCTAAAATATTGTTTTTCAGACAGGCCAGTTTAGAGAGATAACAGAAAGCTAGATTTAGTCATTATTTTGAAACTTGAGCAGAAGTCAAGCACCCACCTTTTCAACACTGTCAGGACTTCCAGACATGCCTGGAGAAAGACTGTAAATGCCTAGGGACGTCTCTGATGAATGTTTAAGTATCCTTAGAGATAGCTAGCTAGTTATTAAGGTTTCTGAAAGGTATCATTCTTTTTTAGTTACCACGAAAAATCATCTAACACTACAGGGGCAAATTATTTTATGGATCAGAGAAGCTAGGTTAAATTATGATATTTTCTGCCCAAAGCTAAAAGCAGCCATGATGTAAGTGGCCATAGAGTAGCCAATCCTCTCTTATAACTGCAGCATGTCTGAAATACCCAAAAGTGCTGATCTTCAGGGCTAGAGTCATCTTAGATCCCTGCTATTCAGCTCCTGTTGTCAAGCCTCAAAGCACACTTAAAGTCCAGGAAACCTTCTATGGGAGGAACTGGAAGAAATTTTTAAATCTTACCGATTGGACTGTGTTTCCTATCATCACATTCTTTTTCTCATATCCTGTTTTTCTCTAGTCTTAGATGCTTGTCCTTTAACTCTTCCGTTTGAATGTGCATTCCACAAATCTGAGTACCATTTCTAAATTAACTTGTTAAATAAAACCAAAAGGCAAGTGGATATATATGCAACTGATAGATCTCATGAAAATTTTTGACATATTTGTTTTTGATTTTTGACTGATGATATTTTTAAAGATACTTTTCATGACAGCTGGTTAATGCCGTCCACTCATGTTTTTGCAAGAAAAATGCTGCTTTTAAACAAAAATAATTTTTTTCTTTTATTAAAATCTTCTTTTTCTTAAACTGCTGTAATTTTCATTGTATTTACTATAACAAAGTTAAATTATCCATTTTATGCCATGTAGAAATTATTTTCAAATTTCAAACACTGGAGCTAGAGTAGATTTGCAAATTTTGGTGAATAAAAATGATTTTACTTTTCTCTGATACTGCCAGCCACAACTGATAGCCTGATGGATCCCTAAATAAGGTCAGGTTATTTTTAGTGTTGTTACATACCAGATGGAGACTTCTCATGATTTCATTTAGCTGTTGGCTCAGCAGTACAAGCAACCTGTCTCATTGTTTTGTTTTACGCAATGTACCTTCAATGCATTTCCATTTCAATAACAGCTCCGCTCATCCTCTCTGCCATCTTCCTCCAAAAATTCCTGAGGGTTTCAAAGGGAGGGGGCCTCACAGCAATGATTAACATTCACAGAACAATTCCAAAAATAATGTTTCACTGGTCCACCAAATTTCCATTTCAGAGTCGGTATACAACTGGTAAACTGTGTGATTTGTCTCTTTAGCATTCTAATGACTTAAATTCATGTAATTAAACCTTTTGGTACTGTTAACATTCTTCAAAACTTTCAACTCAATAATTAGGAAAAAAAAAGTCATCCTGTGAGGGACAGTTTTCATCAGCATGCTTTTCTGCAATGAGATAAAAGAAAAGGCCTTATTCTATTACACTGTATGCTATTCCTTATAATTTGGGCCTGCAGAGAATAACAGAAGAAGCAGTTAATTAACTTTGCTTCTAGGTTCAGTGGCTTGAAAACTTTGGCTTGCAAAGCTTTGGATGTAGGAATAAATTTGATAGGAAGCTTCCAAGGTACAAAATGGTTTATTCTGTGAAATTTTAAGCACAATTAAACATTTGTGGGAGTTTGTCTGTTCTCTGTTCTTTGGCTGCAAATTTCAGATCTTTTTGTATAACGAGAAGCATTAATTTAATAACATATGAATTATTTCATTTTCTCTGTTACCCAGAATAAGCGTTATTTATTTCTTTTTTAGTTTCCAAAATGCTGTATAGAATCATACAATCATAGAACCATTAAGGTTGGAAAAGGCCTCTAAGATCATAAAGTCCAATCGCCAATCCTAACACCACCATGCCTGCTAAACTATGTTCCAAAGTGCAATATTTACACATTTTTTTAATACCTCCAGGGATGGTGACTTAACCACCTCCCTGGGCAGCCTGTTCCAATGTCTGACCTCTCTCTCAGTAAAGAAATTTTTCCTAATATCTAATCTAAACATCCCCTGACACAACTTGAGGCTATTGCCTCTCCTCCTATCTCTAGTTACTTGGAAGAAGAGACCAACCCCTGCCTCACTACAACCTCCTTTCAGGTAGTTGGAGAGAGCGATAACATGTCCCTCAGCCTCCTCTTCTCCAGACTAAACAGCCCCAGCTCCCTCAGCCGCTCCTCATCAGACTTGTTCTCCAGACCCCTCACCAGCCTCATTGCCCTTCTCTGGACATGCTCCAGCACCTCAATGTCCTTCTTGTAATGAGGGGCCCAAAATGGAACACAGTACTCCAGGTGCGGCCTCACCAGTGCCAAGTACAGGGGCACGATCACCTCCCTACTCCTGCCGGCCACACTATTCCTGATACAAGCCAGGATGCCCTTGGCCTCCTTGGCCACCTGGGCACACTGCTAGCTCATGTTCAGCTGGCTGTCGACCAACACCCCAAGAACTTTTCCACTGGGCAGCTTTGCAGGCACTCCTCCCCAAGCCTGTAGCGTTGCATGGGGTTGTGGTGACCCAAGTGCAGGACCCAGCATTTGGCCTTGTTGAAACTCATACAGTTGGCCTCAGCCCATCAATCCAGTCTGTCCAGATTCTTTTGCAGAGCCTTCCTACCCTCAAGCAGATCGACACTCCCACCCAGCCTGGTGTCATCTGCAAACTCACTGAGGGAGCACTCAACCCCGTCATCCAGATCATTCATAAAGATATTAAATAAGACTGTAAAGTTAAAAGTAGCTATAACGCTGACTTTGCTGCATCACTTTCACTAATTGATAGGAGCCTTCCTATTTAGTTTATGATAGAATTAAATTTTCTTTTCATCTTAATCAAACTTTAATATAAGTTCATTCAAGTACCCTGGTTGTCCCCTTGCTCCCCCTACCTTGTCACAGTGCTAAGATCTATGGAATATCTGCTTTATTCCCCTTTTGTTCCCAATGAATTCCTCGTATTCCCTCAGACTCCCATTGTTTTTTCCAATTATTATCATTAGTGTTGTTGTTAATATTTTTACTATTATTATTACGATTTATTCTTATTTTATTACTTGTTTGCTTTGGTAATTTTGCTGCCTATGCCAAGTTCTGTGCAGATACACTAAAGCTGTGATTTTCAGACTACTTGGGTTATGTTTTCATGAGCTATAATCAAATCTTTGGACTGTTTTATACATGCCTGAGCACAGCCATGCAGATGGCTGTCCGGCTGTTTTGGTGCATCACCCCTTAGGGACACCGGGACCTCAGGCCCTTTCTGGAGCCTGGCCGTTGCTCTCCGGCAGCTCCTGTGCAGGGAAGTGAGGGGACCATGATGGGGAGGTTCGGAATATTTTCAGGTTTCTTCTCTGTCATCCCAGTCAGCCAGTGCACCTGGATTTAGCACATTAGAAGGAGACACATAAAGGCTTAAACAAAGGCTGTTTCCTATTCTGGTTGTAAAAAGAATTGGGAAAACTTACAAATTTCTGAGAGATAGTCAGTACTCTAATGGCTTTCATTGGATAGTATGAATGTAGGCATAGCCTAGACCTAAATAAGTGGATTGGAGGAGGCAGGTGGCCTTCTGTATTTCTACAATGAAGCAAAAGTCATGTGGCATTACATAATGAATATTAAATGTCATATATAACTATGACTGATGAGCAAATTTTTCAAGACAGTGGTAACAGAGTAGCAAAAAGAAGTTCTTATTTAAGAGTATTGTCCAAATTTTCACAAAAGTTGGGAGCTCTTGGACTTGGGATTTTTTATTAATAAATGTATTAAAATGTACAAAAATATGGACACCTAAGTGTATATATACCTATTTTCCCCTTGACTTCTCTTCAGAAGAAATCTCATGCTTCTTTCTTAAGTAGTTTGATCATAGTCTTGAAAGTGATATTGCACATCTTATTATCTCAAAAGACTCAGATTGTTAAACACCAGTTTTGTTTATTTGTTGTTTATACTCATTATTCAGTCTGTTAGTTAATGTGGGTTACAATGGAAAAACTAAATCTGGCAGAGCTCTGTGTTAGTTTTTAAAAGCTGCATTGGCTCGGTTTCTCTGGTTTGGGCCTTGAATTGTATCACAGCAATGTTGTTTGCTCTGGCAATCACTGCTGTGTTCTGCATATCATCATTTCTGCAGTGGGATAAGAGATTTTTCTTTTATGATAGCAGTATTGACAAGATTAATTTAAATCATATTTATAAAATATTTTTAGGTCATTAGTGAAAAAGTTGCTACATAACTTAAGACTAATGAACATAAAACAACTCCCCTTAAACACGCAAAAACAGGAAAATCTTCATGCTGCTGTCTGATGACTTAAACGGATTTTAGTGTGATGGATAGCAGAAGAAGATGTTGTTGCTGTCCAAATTCCAATGAAACATTGCAGAATGGATCATATGCATATGATTTCTTGTGCCTCTATTTCATATCCATTTTTTTCCTACCTGAAAGTCAATATGTTTCAAACTTATTCTTCAAAAATACACTGTTTTAGGAAGGAACATCTTTACAAAAGGGGCTAAAGTGATTTTAGAGTAAAAATGTCATTGTTTTTACTGGGTTTCCCTTTTAAATTCTGGATGCAGTTATGAATATTTAAGCCTCATCTATTAAGCCTCATCAAAGACATCATTTTTAGTTAGGGGAAAAAACAACTCTACAAAATACAATAACTTCAAGATTTTGGGGGATTTCTTTTATTTTCTTCAGGAATGAGCACTGCTTTGCATATTTGAGTGCTATGTATCACATTACATAAAAAATCAGAAGAAAACCTGCAGTGTGTCTGGATGTAGGTAGAAATGTCAACATCCTGTCAATCCATCAGGTAAAAGCATCCCTTGATCACATGTCTAATTACTCCTTCACACTTCTATTCTTCAAAATTATAATACTTTCCATTTTCAATTACCTGTGAATAACCCTGGCCTTTAGATTCAATCAAGAAGTTCTTTCTGTAGATATTTGATTTAAAAATTGCCATTAGAAGAATGGGAGAGAGGAGCTTATTGAACTGTAAAGAGAGCACATCATATGCTTGTCTGTGTCCCTCTGCTTCAGGTGTACGCAGCATAGAAAATGTGTAATGCCTCATACTTTTTGGGCTACTTAGAGTGCACGTACTTCAGCATTTTACTCCAGATCATGGGTGTGCATGAGAAGCAAATTCTCTGCCTTTAGTTCGCACAATGGAGCCTATGAAGCAGACTTTCTGACAAAAACTAAAGTCAACACTGGGCGTCTGCATACCTTCTACCTTCTATCAGGCAGTTGGTCCTTTGGACCACACTGAAATAAGCCCCCTGAAAGAGGTATCACGCTTTGCCTTTGTAACTGTTCTGGCCTGTGAGTCTGTTCCTGTTGGGCCACTCTTCTTATTCTTGTAGCCTCTACTACGGGGAAGCCAGCACGGCACTGCTCTACCAGTTATTTTTATCACTGAGAAAAATCATACATAGTTTTGTGAGTGTGTGGGGGGGTTTTGTGCGTATCCCTCCTCTATGCCCAGGTATACTTCATTTTTAACTCGTCCAAGGTAATTTGTCTAGGAGGTTGGATGGGCTGCACAATGCAGAGTATGTCTGTTAGAGTCACTTGAAAGTACTTGAAGATTTGAGTCAGCCTAGAATTTCATGGCCCAAATGGACCTAAATTAATTGTAGTTTGAATTTGGTTTTGTCTTGCTGTCCTGGCCTTCAATTACCTTTTGCTTTTGTGTCATTTTTTATATGTTACACTACAGACCCACAGTTAACATTAGTGGATTTTATAGCAGTAAGCTAAAATCGTTAGGGTCTTTGGGTTTGCAAGGGTCCAGTGATTAACATAACCTCTCGAAAACAGGCTTTTATAGTACAATCCATGGTCTAAAACCATCAAACCCATTGTCTTCCATAAATATATCTGTTGATTTTAGTTTATAGACAAGAAGTTGACAAAGATCTTCAAGTACACAAGACTATTTTTCAGCAGTGATAGCTTTATTCTGAATTACTTTGTCATGAAGTCACAGTTCTGAAATGAATTGGGAAACACAGCATAAAACGTAGAAGTGGATAATTACTTAGCTATAGACTCGGCTTCCTTGTGGTTTGAGACACTGACACTTGTAGGTAGATTTCAGTGTATTAGAAAGCTGTAGAATTTGACTGAAAGCTGTTTTTGAAAGTGAAAGAAGAGTTAGCACAGATGTCATTTTCTTAGTAGTTTTAATTATGCAAAAGGAAGAAAGAACTTTCCCATTCCATAACACTTCATTTTGGAGGACTTCAGACGTCAGGCAAAATTTAGAGTGCTGTTGTCAGAGACAGAAGTATTCTACTGACCTTGAATAATCTAGGAAGAAAAGAGAGAGTAATTGCTCAATGTTGAAGAGAAAACTAATTTTGATGAAAAGTGGAAAAGAAAATTGTTGGTTTCATGTCTTAATGGAAATGGAAGAGCTTAATTTCTATGATACTTCAGTCCTTTAAAATGAGATATATCTGAAATCTATTTTGCGAGAACCCTTCCTCATAAATTTAAGGATTTTTTTTAATGTCTAGAATTGATTGATGTTTTTATTTTCAAACTGCCTCTTAAAGTTCAGTCAAGGCAAGGTTGTTGTTATCCTGGTAGTACACAACGCAACATTAGAAATAACGTTAGATAAAAAAATTTCCTTCCCTTATAGTCTTTTACGTATTGCTCCTAACATTATCCACTGCGGTTTTTATAGGAGAGGTTTTTCACATTCTTTACGTTAACTTTTTAGGAATTTTGGAA